TTCACAAGCCTCTTCTACTGTGTACATAGTTTATACTAAGTGACCCATAGGTTGAGGAGGCGGTGACCATGGCGGTGTAGGTGGAAGCAGTGGTGGAGGAGGAGGATGGGGTAGCCAACACTGTATTTTATGTTTTTTTTTTTTTTATTGTGGTAACCCACAAAATATTGGGACATACAAATTGTAAAGGATTTCCCTGTATTCACCTGTGTTCATTCGGTTGTGTCCTCTCCCTGCTCTTTAACTACCTTTGAACGTTTAGTTTTAATTATGTGTTCGGGAAATGTATTCGTTCTACTGAACGGAGACCACCCTGGGTAGCAATCAGAATTTGGAACAGCGAGTAATCACACAAAAAACCGCAACTTAATTGAGTTCTTCTAGGTGGCCGCCATTCAGCATACGAACACATGGCGAGAACAAAAGATGGCAGCCATCTTAAATCTCCCGAATGCGGCCACCGGGACTTACTCGTGGATTGCCTGGAACTGTTTTTGGCATGGCAATCACACGAACGTCCAGTCATTATGGAAGTCCCGTCTGACCTATTTCCACTCATAGTATCAAACTGGCATTCGGGAGTTTTAATCTACCGAACGAGGGGAGCAGTCTCATGTAGTAGTTTTTGTGTAATTCTGCGCAAACGGAGACCGGCTCTCGATTTCATGGAACTCTAAATCGGATACCACCACAGGGCGAGCCAGTCAAACTTCCACAAGATTCGACACGGAAACTACCAAACCGATTTTCGTGAAATTTGGATATGTGACTCCCAGTATCCTCAGCTACCCAGGGATGTGGTTTATATATTTCTATGATATGCAGAAAGTATTTTTCAAAAAATTTTGATAATTGTAATGTTTCTGGCCAGCAGATAATTGAGTTTAGTATGTTGCTGAAACTGAATTATCTAGCCTGGCCCAGAGGAGGAGTCTGTTACTGTATAAATTGAATGCCTGTTGCTTCCAGTAAATCAGTCTTGTTCCAGCATTAAGCTTTGGCACATGTGTGGATTATTTGGCGATACCAGAGATATTTATTCCTATGGATTATTGTTATTATTCTGCTACTGGGAAAAAGGGAATGCAGGACGGTGATACAGTTTACTACCATCACACAAATAAAGAAATATTTGCGGCCTGCGGTGCATTTTTTGCAGTCCTGATGCATGGAGAAATGCTCAACTCCTGATGCATGGAGAAAAGGCCTTCACAAGCCTCTGCTAATGTGTACCTAGTTTATACTAAGTGACCCATAGGTTGAGGAGGCGGTGACAGTGGTGGTGGAGGAGGAAGCAGCGGTGGAGGAGGAGGATGAGGCAGCCAACACTGTATTTTATGTTTTGTTTTTTTAATTGTGATAGCCCACAAAATATTGGCACATAAAAAAAAAAAAAATATTTGCGCCTGCGGTGCATTTCTTGCAGTCCTGATGCATGGAGAAATGCTCAGCTCCTGATGCATGGAAAAAAGGCCTTCACAAGCCTCTGCTAATGTGTACCTAGTTTATACAAAGTGACCCATAGGTTGAGGAGGTAGTGACCGTGGCGGTAGAGGAGGAGGATGAGGTAGCCAACACTGTGTTTTTATATATATATTGTGATCCTTGTTTGCAGGTAGCACGGTCCTCTAGGGCAAAAACATGCACAGTCCTTGTAATTGCAAGTACTTCAGGCACTTTATTTGTAAGTTCACACAGGATACAGCAGTAAAATGAAAACAAAAGTAACAGAAAACCCTATAAACAAAAACCTAGCTCATCTGAGCACTAACTGACATTAGTTCCCTATCTCTCAGGGTTAAACTAAACACAATATTGCACCAACCTTATTAGAGAGCAACGCTCTGCTATCTAACCTGTTGCTTTCCTTTCTGCACTCCCAGTGCTCCAAGCCAGCCTTGCCCTGACTGCTTTGCTTTCTGCACTCCCAGTGCTCCAAGCCAGCCTTGCCCTGACTGCTTCCTTTCTGCACTCCCAGTGCCTAGTCTCTTGACTATCTGGAGAGAACAGCCTCTCTCCTACCTGCTTCCTGGGAGGAAGCCAGCAATCCCTCTCCTTTTCCTGCCTAGCCGGGAGGAGTTTATTCCCACTGCAACAGCTGATTACCTGCAGCTGAGCAGTGGGTTGGAGACAGTCCAAAAACCCTGGCCTGGATCTAGGTCTCCCCAGAACACCACTAAACTGTGGAGTGGAGCATTGGCCCACCCTTCTCTCCAAATGCTCCACCCCAGGGGCCCATAACTAAACAATGTGTTGTGTTGTGCAAAACACAAACTACACATACTCCCCCTGGGGTTAAAAGGCCTATCTGCCTTCACTTTATCACATATCCTCCTCCCCAGCTCAGACCCATCGGGTCGAGCGGCCTTAGAACACAAACCGTAAACATTTATAACACCTAGGGCTGTACCAGCCCTGACTTGCTCCTCAGTTACAGGACGTGGCCTATTGCAGATGGCTGCTACCTTGCTCGCTTGTATTTTAAGGAGCCCCCACCCAAGTGGATAACCCAAATAGTTATCAAATCCCAGATAACACGTAGAAGTGTTATCGGTCAAACCGGCAGCCTTTACCTTATTTACAACTAACCGGACCTTCATCAGGTGTGCTACCCAGTCCACCCTGTTAAACACCACATCAAGGTAGGCAGCTGCATACTCTGGCTGGAACAGAACACTTTTCATCAAAGTAACCTCACTCCCTGAATCTATCAGTGCTTGTGCACTCTTCCCTTCCACCATCACCACTTTTAGCTGTGCTGTAACACCACCACCAGTCACCATACACATCTTTAAGCAAGTCAATACAATCCTATACAGAGCCCTTATTACTATGTCACATTGTATTGTCTCTTCACTCTCAGGACAGCTATATGTAATATGTCCATGCATGCGGCAGTTGAAGCAGTTTTTCTCAGTCTGGTCTCGTAGCCAAAATAGGACTTTTAGGTACGTTCTACCATCATAGGTATATTGTCCCAGACTTTGTCCTTGCTTTCCAGTTTCCCCGCTTATCTGGTTGCTAGCGGATCTAGGCTGAGGATCAGTACTGTGTGGCTCCTTAGTAGCCAAGTTCCTCTGACTCATCATCTGCTTCCACATCCATAGCAGCTTCTGATTTGATAATCTCTCAACGTTAGAGTAACTTTCAAAAGCAAACTTTGCAAAGGCTTGGCGTGTAGCTATACGTCCAATTCCTTCATGAGCTGAATTTTCCAGGTGCTCAACCTCTTCAAGACCTGGTTCTGTCACCAGCTCATCCTTCACTGGAACAAGTCCCTCCGCGAAGGGCTCCACAACATCCTCCATCTGTTCTGCGAATCCCTGGGAACCTGCCTTGCTCCCTATGGGGTTGTCCAGAGACGCAGTCATGGCCTCTCGCTGAGTCATTACAGCCCTGGTATCAAACAGCCAGTCAGGCATTCCGAGTCCCGCCTTTAATTCCATGACTGTGTTCCCAGAATCTGGCAGCTGTTCCCGGTAGTCAGTGCGCCCAGGCCTTGTAGCAGTAGTCTTTGCCAGCAGATCTAGTTCTACGGCTCCTGGACAATCATTCAAAGTCTTTGTAGCAATACCAGATGTCTCTGCTACTAAACAGCGCACCACATTGTTATACTCAACTGGAGTGCTTTGCTTCTCTTCATTTTGATCAGCTCCTTTGCTGTTGTCTTCTCTGACTCCCCAAGTCAGTCTGCTTTTCATGCCTTTGACTTGTTCACTTGGGTGTACATCAGGGGCTTCTGCTTCATGTTTCTTTCCCGGGCCGTATACACTAGCTTTACTTACACCTTCTGGGTGGTTTTTGCTTACCACCAACTCTTTTTCAAAGACCTCTTTATCACTACTTTTAGGCTCAATTTCATCCTTCTTGCCTTCTAATTCCTGTTCTCTCTCTCCTGCGTGTTTCTCAACAGCACACTTTGCTGCCTCCATGCTTTTCAGCTTGCTGAAGACTTCTTCTACTGCCTCTGTCATCCCATGCAGGATGTCAGTAGCTTGGTTACAGGGTCCCTTGTCCCCACGCTCCCTGCAGGGGGCAATCTGCAAAACCTCAGTAAGGGCAGCTCTATGCTCCTGCTGAGCGTCCCTCAGGTTCTTAACCTGTGCAGCCAGGAAACTGTTTGTGCCTTGTTGTTTAGCCGTTGCCTGTACCACAGCTCTCAGCAGGTCCTCCATTATAGCACCAAGCAGGTAACAGTCTTAAAGGTACAGTGCTACTTGTTTGTGTAACAGGTCTGCAAAAATAAAAGTCCTCAAGCAGACTACCAAATGACTGGCACACCCACAGACCCTCAATGTGCTACTGTGCCCGCATTCTCCACCATATTGTGATCCTTGTTTGCAGGTAGCACGGTCCTCTAGGGCAAAAACATGCACAGTCCTTGTAATTGCAATACTTCAGGCACTTTATTTGTAAGTTCACACAGGATACAGCAGTAAAATGAAAACAAAAGTAACAGAAAACCCTATAAACAAAAACCTAGCTCATCTGAGCACTAACTGACATTAGTTCCCTATCTCTCAGGGTTAAACTAAACACAATATTGCACCAACCTTATTAGAGAGCAACGCTCTGCTATCTAACCTGTTGCTTTCCTTTCTGCACTCCCAGTGCTCCAAGCCAGCCTTGCCCTGACTGCTTTGCTTTCTGCACTCCCAGTGCTCCAAGCCAGCCTTGCCCTGACTGCTTTCCTTTCTGCACTCCCAGTGCTCCAAGCCAGTCTTCTTGACTATCTGGAGAGAACAGCCTCTCTCTCCTACCTGCTTCCTGGGAGGAAGCCAGCAATCCCTCTCCTTTTCCTGCCTAGCCGGGAGGAGTTTATTCCCACTGCAACAGCTGATTACCTGCAGCTGAGCAGTGGGTTGGAGACAGTCCAAAAAACCCTGGCCTGGATCTAGGTCTCCCCAGAACACCACTAAACTGTGGAGTGGAGCATTGGCCCACCCTTCTCTCCAAATGCTCCACCCCAGGGGCCCATAACTAAACAATGTGTTGTGTTGTGCAAAACACAAACTACACATACTCCCCCTGGGGTTAAAAGGCCTATCTGCCTTCACTTTATCACAATATATATATATTAATTGGGGTAGCCCCCAAAATATTGGGACATAAAAAAAAACACAACTCTGTTCCACAGAGTAGCTGTTGACATTATAGTTGCGCAGGAACTTTGTTGACTCTAGAGAACCTTGGGCAAATCGCATATCCCCGTGGCGGCGACTTTGCATGCGGATGTCATCCATATCAGCTTTCGATGCCAGTTTCCGCACCTACCATCGTGATGATGGGTAACAGGGAATCTAGGGTTCCATTCCGTACAGGGACCCTGAGAATTGGCTACCACATGCAAGGAAGGCGGCAGGCATGCAAATGACCTACTCCGAAGGTAGTGATGACAAATAACAATACAGGACTCTTTAGAGGCCCTGTAATTGTAATGATTCCACTTGAAATCCTTTAACTCTGATCAATTGGAGGGAAGTCTGGTGCAGAGCCAGTGACCAGTGTGTGCTGCAGCTGAAACTCCACTATCGTCTGCTGCTGCTTGCAAAGTCTCATGAGGCGGTGAGTGGGAAGGCCAAAGTTACGCTGCAGTGCAGACAGGCGAGCAGCAGCAGAGTGACAATGCCAAAAGCGCGCACAGCCGCTACAGTGAATGCCACATCCTGTTCCAAGTTGCGGATCAGTTTGGTGATGGCTTCTGGTATCATGTACTCTGCTTACTGAAGCTGCATCAGGGTCCTGGTATGTGGCCGCACAAACACTGGTGCTCAACACCAGGGGGCGTGCGGTTACCCTGCACCAGACCCTGCTAATCCATTCAACACTGTGACTCCTAACTTCAACATCAGGCATACTGGGTCCCGGTCATCCAACCGCCGCCCAGACAGTGTCTGGGTCCTGGTCACCGGACTGCCCACCTCACTGTGAAACTACGAATGGATTGTTAAATCTGGTACTCAAGTCTATTATGGATCCTTTGATCCTTTGACATGTATTACTTGGATAACAGGTAATTCTTGAGTTAATTCATGCCGACGAGCGCTAGGGGACGGCCGCTCCGCTTTTGCACGCTGCTCCCTCTTATGCAGTGCTGGTGCCTCTGTGCGACCAGCGCCTCTTCCTCCAAACTGCACACGTCACTCGCATGACCTTGATTCCATTTGGGGTCTAGGATCTCATCATCCTCCACATAATTTTCCACCCACTCCTCAACCTTTCCCTCCTTGCTGGTATGCACACTGCAGAAAGCCACAGCAGTTGGCACCTGTGTTTTTCCAGCATGTAAAGTCTGCAAAGGACATATGGAAATTGTTTTAGAATTGTATCCAGGCAACAGTTTTCCCTATAAACTGGCCTTTCCATTTGAGTTGTGAGGGTATTGCCCCAGAATTACAATATTGTTGAAGTACCTCTTAGCTATTGATCACTGGTTTAAATATAGCAGCTTGTTATCTGGTAGTTTCTAGTGTAGAAAATATCAATCTGTTTTCTATCACTTAGATCTGTGTAACAAGTATTGTAGTTGTGAAACAATATTACAAGTGACCGATGTAGTAAATTCAAATCAAAGTTACGCTTCGATTTGACTCTCATATATGAAGTGAACACCTCAAATATACTATTTAGCGCAATTTTTTTTTGACTTTTTAAAACTCCAATGTAAGCAGCAGATTAGCAGCAAAACAATTCGAATGTTTACCACTGCGCAGTAAGCGCACTATTTGACGCTTCTATTTGACTCCTAGATATGAAGTGCACCTTGGGCCCCAAAATGTACTATTTAGCAGATTAGCAGCAAAACATTTAGAATGTTTACAATTGCGCAGTAAGCACACTATTAGACGCTTCGATTTGACTCTCAGATATGAAGAACAGGCCTCAAAATGTACTATTTAGCAGATTAGCAGGAAAACAATTAGAATGTTTACAACTGTGCTGTAACCGCAGTATTAGACACTTCTATTTGACTCTCAGATATGAAGTGCACGCCCCAAAATGTACTATTTAGCAGATTAGCACCCAGAAAATAAGAATGTTTACCACTGCACTATAAGCACACTATAAGACGCTTCGATTTGACTCTCAGATATGAAGTGCACCCCACTAAAATACTATTTAGCAGTTAAGGACCCAAAAATTTACTTTTTAAAACTCCGATGTAACCGCGGTATTTGAAGCTTCTATTTGACTCTCAGATATGAAATGCACCCCACCCCACTAATGTACTAGTTTGCAGAATTCTTTCCTAAGCTGTCCCTATCAGCGGCAGCATCCTCTCCCTACACTAATAAGACCGCATGTGCGTGCGGCGCTACGCGACTCCAGCTTGTATATAGAGGCTGGGTCACATGCTGCACTGGCCAATCACAGCCATGCCATTAGTAGGCATGGCTGTGATGGTTTCTAAGGGCACACGAGTCAAATGCTTGTTGATTGGCTGCCCTGTAGCCTTTGAAAACACGCTATTAAATCGCTGAATACCGAACTCCAAACCGAACATACAGTGATATGTCCGTGTTCGGGTCTGGAGTCCAAAAAAACCTAATGTTCGGTACGAACCCAAACTTTTCAGTTCGGGTTCGCTCAACTCTAGTGCTGACAACAAAATCACACAAAAATAAAAAAATGGAAATCAAATTTTTCAACCCATGGAGGTCTGGATTTGGAGTCACACTCAAAAGTGGAAAAACACACTACAGGCTGATCCAACTTTGATGTAATGTCCTTAAAACAAGTAAAAATGAGGCTCAGTAGTGTATGTGGCCTCCACGTGCCTGTATGACCTCCCTACAACGCCTGTGCATGCTCCTGATGAGGTAGCGGATGGTCTCCTGAGGGATCTCCTCCCAGACCTGGACTAAAGCATCTGCCAACTCCTGGACAGTCTGTGGTGCAACGTGACGTTGGTGGATGGAGCGAGGCATGATGTCCCAGATGTGCTCAATTGGATTCAGGTCTGGGGAACGGGCGAGCCAGTCCATAGCATCAATGCCTTTGTCTTGCAGGAACTGCTGACACACTCCAGCCACATGAGGTCTAGCATTGTCTTGCATTAGGAAGAACCCAGGGCCAACCGCACCAGCAGATGGTCTCACAAGGGGTCTGAGGATCTCATCTCAGCACCTAATGGCAGTCAACCTACCTCTGGTGAGCACATGGAGGACTGTGCGGCCCCCAAAGAAAGCCACCCCACATCATTACTGACCCACTGCTAAACCGGTCATGCTGGAGGATGTTGCAGGCAGCAGAACGTTCTCCACGGCGTCTCCAGACTCTGTCACATCTGTCACATGTGCTCAGTGTGAACCTGCTTTCATCTGTGAAGAGCACAGGGCGCCAGTGGCGAATTTGCCAATCTTGGTGTTCTCTGGCAAATGCCAAACGTCCTGCATGGTGTTGGGCTGTAAGCACAATACCACTCTCATGGACCAAAACATCAGCCAGGAAGCATAGGAACTGAGAAGTGGTCTGTGGTCACCACCTGCAGAACCACTCCTTTATTGGGGGTGTCTTGCTAATTGCCTATAATTTCCACCTGTTGTCTATCCCATTTGCACAACAGCATGTGAAATTGATTGTCACTCAGTGTTGCTTCCTAAGTGGACAGTTTGATTTCACAGAAGTGTGATTGACTTGGAGTTGAATTATGTTGTTTAAGTGTTCCCTTTATTTTTGTGATCAGTGTATTTAGATTGAAATATATATATATATATATATATATATATATATATATATATATATATATATATATATATATATATATATATATATATATATATATATATATAGGTTTAGTTCTAATTAAGTTGTGTTTTTTTTTTTTTATTTATTATTATGTTTAAAAAAATGGGTGACCGTCCTGGTGTCCCAGTGTCCCGGTAGCCAAAAGCTCTAGGTACGCCCCTGATCCAGACCATGCTCATTTCTCACCCAATGCTCCCCCAATGATCTGTTACTTGAATCCACACCTACTCTCTCACTTTTAGAACTTCTCCAGGGTTGCCCTCTCCTTATGATATGCCCTCTTACTAGTCTCTGCAGCTTTACAAAAATCCATAAAACCCCTCTTCTTTACAGTAGCCTAGCAGCTCTCCCTTTTACTCCTCATCCATTATAACCTCCCTCTGCTATTCCCCATCTTCTGTGCTCCCTTCTATTAATCATCCCCCCATCTGTCAGGTGCATACAGCACACATAACTCCTTGCGTATTTTTTCCCTCATTATTTTAGATTCTAAGTTTATTTGGGCAGGACCTTCTTAACCTATTGTTTTGTTCGAATTTAGTGTTTGTCTTCTTTTCCTATGGTATAATGCTGAATATGTTGGCGCTGTATAAAAATTTGTAATGCCAATCAGTAAAATACAGTAAATGCCAAAAATACGTGACCAACAATATACTTTTGCATGGATTGAAGTTTCCTGCTGCAGAGAGACTTAAAGCAGATATATAAAAAATATATAGCATTCTTTTTAAAAGTATAATTAAAGTTCTCTTACAAAGATTTGTATCGAGAGATAGAGGGAAAAAGACCTAACAGAGAGAAGCTCTAAAACTGGATAAATATAGGAATCCACCAAAAAACCTATTAAAAACAGAATAAGTAGGATCTGCTGCACAGGAGGTGTAGCAGTAAAAAATCCAGGAGCTGGTGAATGTTAAAGGATTACTGTGCAAAATATAATATTATAGTTGCAGGAAATCAAATTAATATGAAGATTCAAATGTGTGTGTATATACACAAACCATATATGTATGGCAGAATTATCTCATAACCCAGAAAACAGGATTCTGGAAAAAGAGTAATATATTTTTTATCATTTTTAATTTTTAATTTTATTTTTTTATTATTTTTTTATAGTTATTCTTAATTTCGTTTACTTTTAATCTTGTCTATTTCTTACAAACTTTTTTTTTTTTATATCCATATCTATAGCCCAATTCAGATTTATCCATTATGCATATACACTAAAGGAGCACCTTGTATTTATCTCTGATTTAATGACTAACATGATTTCTATTTCGTTACAGACAATAGCAAATGCATAAAAGAAGCAACTCTATAAACAGCAAAGCATTTTCTGAATGATATGTATTAAAATCTAGAATGTAAACATTGCTATACTGTTCTATTGTGTTTTTAGGGTATAACAGCCTATGTAGACCATCTAATGTCACACATGACTCATGTAGGAATGATAATTTATTCATTTTAAGATGTTAAAAATAGCAATTGCAAATTGACATCTCATTAAAATATTGAAATATACATTTCCACTAGTTTAGTTCGTTTAGTTTATTACATATATTTTACATGCAAAATGTGGATTTCTACTTATGTACACAATTCTTAATTAA